CCAGGCGAATTGAAAGAAGGGGAAGGGGTCGAGAGTTTGAAAAGCTTTGCATTAAAACTAGGCAAACTGCAGCCTTCTTGCTTATTCACGGCAGCACTCTGCCACCGCTAAAGAGCCTGTAAGGAGTTGTAATTTTCAGAGCACTTGACACGACATTAATTCATTAACCCTCCAGACAGGCTTCACAAAGGAATTAAAGTATTTTGTTCTCTTTTGATAAACAGCCAAAGGAAGGGGAAGGGAATTTAAAGGAGGTTTGCCAAAAATCAAAGGAATGGCCAGTTAGAAATGTGTTCGGTTACAATACCAGCAAAGAGGCTTTAAGAAGAAGAAAAAAATCCATAGAAGAAACAGAGTATTCCTCTTTATGCCTGTCCAGGGAGTCCTCGACTTACGATCACAATTGAGACCGGAATTTTCCTTGCTTAAACACGGCGATTGCTAAGCGAGTCGCGTCCAATGTCACGGTTTGCTTTGCTATAGTTAAATGAACCACTGCAGTTGTTAAGTGAATCATACAGTCGTTAAGCAAATCTGGCTCCCCCCCCATTGATTTTGCTTGTCGGAAGCCAGCTGGGAAGGTCACGAATGATGACGACGTGACCCTGGAAACTGCAACAGTCATAAGTACATGCCAGTTTCCAAGGATTTTAATCAAGTGACCGAGGGGATGCTGACAGTAATTAAGAGCAATTACAATAGCACTTAAGACTTATATACCGCTTTACGGTGCTTTACAGCCCTCTTTAAGCGATTTAGAGTCAGCCTATTTTCCCCCAACAATCTGGATCTTCGTTTTACCGATCTCGGAAGGATGGAAGGCTGAGTCAACCTTGAGCTGGTGAAAATCGAATTGCTGGCTGCCGGCAGATTTAGCCTGCAATATTGCATTCTAACCACTATGCCACCAAGGAAGGAAGGAAGGAAGGAAGGAAGGAAGGAAGGAAGGAAGGAAGGAAGGAAGGAAGGAAGGAAGGAAGGAAGGAAGGAAGGAATAGCACTTAGATTTATATACCACTTCACAGTGTTTTACAGCCCTCTCTAAGCGGTTTACAAAGTCAGCCTCTTGCCCCCAACAACCTGGATCCTCATTTTACTCACCTCGGAAGGATGGAAGGCTGAGTCAACCTTGAGCCTGGTGGGATTTGAACTGCCAAATTGTAGGCATCCGGCAGTCAGCAGAAGTAGCCTGCAGTACTGCACTCTAACCACTGCGCCACCACGGCTCATCACGGTAAATTGGTAAATCAACGGTAAATCGAGGGCTGCCTGATTATAACTTCTCCAAAGCTAAAGAGCTCAGTTGGATCAAAACCTTGTTTAGTCAAAGATTTCCTAATTTTAAACTCTGTTGTATTCAGGATCCAATCTGGGTTGGTCATTGGGACCAGAGATTTAATCCTCCAAGTTTTCAGGACTGTGTTGTACTCAGTTAACCCAATTTTCTCGGTACACACAAGACATCAACTTTTAAATTGGGGTAGCTGGAGCTTCCCAACCCACATTAAAACAAGGTAGTTTTGCAACGAGGTGAATAGAGGCAACTGTAATTCCTCCCTTTTTTAAAAATCATTGTGTAAATGATTGCGGCAACGTTCCTCGGTTCTAATAGGATGCAACAAAGCAGAGTGATTAGAAAAGTCAATCACACCGGCTTAAAATCCCACATTCGCAGCTTTCAAATTAATACAAAAATGTTTTTTTAATTGTCAGTCTGCCGAGTTTTCTTATCAAATTACTTTCTCATTGGAGAAAATTAAACCTCCTAACAGGGGAGATGGCTGACAGAATGCTAAAGAGGCTTTGATAGAATGAGTGCGTTGCGCTAACTAAATGGAAAAAGGAGCATTGTGTTTAAACACCGATATGCAGATTAAAAAATACAGTGTTATTTTCACACCTCCTCCTCCTGCTTTAAGCATCAATCTTATTAAACCACTCCTTGCTTAATCCAGATGAGGATATTGTGGGGGACTAAGGAACTGGAGGCTCTCCAAGGCTTAGATCCCAGCACCCATCATCCTTGGACGTAATCGCGGGAGCTAGTAACAACTAAAATAAAATATCTCCAGGCCACAGAATCTAGAAGACTGGTCTATATCCTGGGAAGTTCACGAAGGAAGTTTATTTATATATTAAAGAAGAGGTGTATGGCCATCCATTCAAGCTCACTGACTCTGGGCGGCTTAGAGAAATAAAATATATAGAGAGATAATCCTTGATTTACAACAGTTCATTTAGTCATTGTTTAAAGTTACAGCAGCACTGGAAAAAGATATGAATGTTTTCACACTTATGACCACTGCAGCATCTCTTTGGTCAGGGTTCCGATGGATGCCCTAATTAAATCATGAACCTCGAGCCAAGCTTCAAAAGAAATCCAGTTATTTATTAGGAGCTTCATGTCGGCACATTCCCGAATGAAACCAGCCCTGACCCCACATAATTTACAGCCCCAATCATGACCCTGTTTCCCCCCTTCCCCCAAGGTGTGTCATCAATCACATTTGCTAACGGAGCGATTTCGCAGGTTGTAGAGATCACTCCCCTCCGGCCGCTGTGGGTAACCCTGGGAGACAGCCTTGAGAAAGATATGTCTGGAATGTGCTCCTGTCTTTGGCTGCCATACTGCTTTGCCGGTTTCCCATCCCCCTTGCCTATGGCAACTAGAGAGCAGGCCAGGGATGCTTTACAAGTTGACATGATCAAAATTCGGACGCTTGGCAACTGGCTCATATTTATGAGTCGCAGTGTCCCGGGGTCACGTGATCCCCTTTTGAGACCTTCTGACAAGCAAAGTCAATGGGGAAAAGCCAGGTTCACTTAACAATCGTGTTACTAACCTATCAACTGCAGTGATTCATTTAACAACTGTGGCAAAACGGTTGTAAAATGAAGCAAAACTCACTTAACAACTACTTTGCTTAGCAACAGAAATTTTGGGGCTCAACTGTAGTTGTAAATCAAGGATTAACGGCACTTCAAAATCTTTTATTAGTTAGCCACAAAAAAAGAGAGAGATTTTTCTGTCCCGATTTCTAAGATGAAAAAGCTCTCCAAAGCTTTTTGAAGGTTCAGTGTTTTGTTTTCTCCCAGAGAAATCTTTCAGCAACTCTTCTGCAAATTCAGTAACGGTAAATTAATTGTATATTTAAAAAAAAGAGTCAGATAAGACTGAATGGATGTATCAAGATTATCATTTTTAAAAAACCAATCAAAAGCACAAGACATTATTGGCTTTTTACCTATTACCTATTACCGTGTTTCCCCGAAAATAAGACCCTGTCTTATATTTTTTTGAACCCTGAAATAAGCGCTTGGCCTTATTGCCATGCACTCGAAAGTCCGATTGGGCTTATTATCAGGGGATGTCTTATTTTGGGGAAAACAGGGTATTATGCAGATGAGGAGTCAATCAATGACAACTGAAGATGGCCAATTATTACTTTTGCAAAAGAAGTTTCATGAACATTTCCAGCGGGTGTCACGGTAAGAGCTAGCAAGATTCCAACAGGGTTATATATCCAAGTACTTTCTAAGGTGGTGATGTTATTGTTACATGCTCTGGGATAAAGAGTGTAGGCGTTTAGAGACACTAAAACATACATGAAGCACACATGTAAAAACTTAAGTGACGCGGCAATGCAGTGTTGCTCAAGGAAATGCTTCCATACAGGAGTGACACCATTTCTCCACCAAGCCAGTTCATAAAGTCCATCTGTTTCACTGGACAGCTCTGGCACACATTCATTGTATCCATGATTTTAACATTTTTTTATTTTATTTATTTCTATCCTGCTTTTATTATCTTTATAAGGACGCAGTGGTTCAGTGGCTAAGACGCTGAGCTTGTCGATCGAAAGGTCGGCAGTTCAGTTGTTTGAATCCCTAGTGCTGCGTAAAGGGGTGAGCTCCCGTTACTTGTCCCAGCTTCTGCCAACCTAGCAGTTTGAAAGCACATAAAAAATGCAAATAGAAAAATAGGGACCACCTTTGATGGGAAGGGAACAGCGTTACGCGCGCCTTTGGCGTTGAGTCATGCCGGCCATATGACCACGGAGACGTCTTCGGACAGCGCTGGCTCTTCGGCTTTGAAACTTAGATGAGCACCGTCCCCTAGAGTCGGGAACGACTAGGGCATATGTACGAGGGGAACCTTTACCTTTATCTTTTTTATTCTTACAAATAACTCAAGGCGGCGAACATATCTAATACTCCTTCCTCCTAATACTCCTTTCACCTATTTTCCCCAAAACAAGCCTGCTTCATTCCACCAATACATTTGAAAAGACAGGAAAGAACAATGCCACTTCTGAAAGAACAGACTGAGCCTATATTTTTTTTAATTGGCATATAGTTACACAACATCACATTTTAAGATTGTGACTGGATTTAGGGGAGGAAGCTGGTGCAGTGCTAGGACACAGATCAATCTCTTTTCCAATCAATTATTTTAATTAAAAGGTAAAGGTAAAGGTTCCCCTCGCACATATGTGCTAGTCGTTCCCGACTCTAGGGGGCGGTGCTCATCTCCGTTTCAAAGCCGAAGCTGTCCGAAGACATCTCCGTGGTCATGTGGCCGGCATGACTCAACGCCAAAGGCGCATGGAACGCTGTTACCTTCCCATGAAAGATGGTCCCTATTTTTTCTACTTGCATTTTTTATGTGCTTTTGAACTGCTAGGCTGGCAGAAGCTGGGACAAGTAACGGGAGCTCACCCCGTTACGCAGCACTCGGGATTCGAACCGCTGAACTGCCGACCTTTCGATCGACAAGCTCAACGGCTTAGCCACTGAGCCACCACGTCCCTTTTAATTTAATTAGGAGTCTCTTTAATTTATATTGCCTCCTTATTAAATAGCAAATAGATTGATGCCCTTTCCTTGGACTTGATAGGGAAGCAACAAGAAGAAACACGGCAATGGGAAATAAAAACAAATCTAAAAACAACAAGACAGGATAATGGGGGAAATGTCAATGGAAGATTCGGAGAGCAAAATTGTCTTATAATTTTACTTATTGCTGGTGGGGGGGAGTTTCCCCCCACCCAGCCTCAGCGACAGGATCGTATTTCACGGAAACATCTCAGTGCAAGGCAGAATAGGAAAACTGGGCTGTGTGATCACACCTGAGAACGTTACAAACCAAGAGCCGTATCCTAAAGTCCTAAAGCCTTCAGACTGGAGTCCCTTCGGCTTGTTTTCTGGGGGACCAATTTTGGAGGTGAACCGTCGGCTCCAAATCAAGCATCGGTTCTTCGTCAGTCAGTTTGCCTTCCTTCTGTCTCTGCGCAAGGATCATGGCCCGCAGCAGTGGTGGGTAGAGGACATACCGGACTTTCTCCTCTTCCTCAGGAGGGGTAAATTTCTTAAAGGCTTCCTCCTCGTGTTTTGGTACCATGCGCCAGTCGTGGTACATTACTTTGTCTATTTCTTTCTCTTCGGTTTCGGGCTTGCCTAAGAAGCAATTGAGAAGATGTAGAGAGATCCTTTTAGGCAGGCAAATCTTGCCAGGATGGGACACAAAGTGAAAAGAAAGATTTGAAAGCCTAGCCCAGACGTCTGCCACCTTAAACACTCAAAGAGCCTTTTGGACCCTTTTCCCACAGAAAAGAAAACACCGGGAGCCACAAAAACCCTCCCCATGCCGGACTATTTCTTGAGCGGCCACAAAACTAGCCTATGTAGTCGAATTAAACGTTCTGTTTTCTTCTGAAACTTTGCTTTTCTTGGATTTATCCATGGTTGGCCTACTGGGGATCGAAAAGCTCAATAAATCGTGTGCCGGCGGGTTTTGCACATTGGCAGTTGTAAGGCATATTTTGAGTGACAAGGAGTTGCAGCAGAAGGGTGAAAGAGCCACATGCAGCTCCAGAGCCGCAGGTTGCTGACCCCTGGCCTAGACTGCATGCTGTTTTGTTTTACTTATTTCGTTTTTGTAATTATTTTTGTGTTTATGTAATACATAGCACCACACGATTGGACTGTGCATTATATATACACGCACAACCACACATATATACAGTGGTGGAATGCTGCCGGTTTAACAACCGGTTCGGTGAGCACACGCTTCGCACACGCCTAAGGCGCTTGCACTTGTGCTGAAAGTAGAGCATTTAGAAGCTCAGCTGCTTACCTTCCAAGTCAGCAACAGTAAGTAGAACAGCGAGGGGGGGGGGGGAATCAGCTGTGCTGCGCGATTGGGATGAGCTACAAAGCAGGAAATAAAGGACAGGATAGAGCGGGGGCGGGGCCAACTGATCATCGGTGCTACCGATTCGCCCGAACCAGTCCGAACCGGCTGAATTCCACCTCTGTATATACATATACATACATACATACATACATACATACATACATACATACATACATATATTAAGTGTTTACCCCAACATGTGGGAGGGGACATTCTGCTCCCTTTTGCCTTTCAGCTCCAATCCAGGAGCCCTCAAGCAGTTGCGTTCACGACAAACCATTTTATACCAAATTTATATTTTGCTGATAAAGAAATATCAGCTCAAGAAGGTTAATTCAACTGCCTAACATGCAGGAAGCCCAAGTTTGAATCCAAGTAAGGGTATGGCTAGCTGATGAAAGCTAGTTGGGGACATGTCTGACACATCAGCAGGATCAAGTTAGTCATTTCCTAATTTTTGACTCCCCCGAGCCCTCACTGCTCTATCGCATGAGAACTCGTCCTTGCTACAGGCTTCATCATGAAATCTTCACCCATAAAAGCAAATCTTCCCTTACCTCTAAATGTCAGATATCCCCAAGCCTTTCCATATTCCATTTTCTATAAAAAAAAGAACATCAAATGATTATAGTCCATTCAAGATGAAGGGAAGAGGCTGATGTGGTGCTGCACCAGCAGCCTGCGCAGCTGGCACTCGAGTCAGACAGTGAGGAGGCTGGAGAAGATGTGGTGCCAGAGGCAGGGATTCAGCCAGGGCCTTCAGAACCTCCAGAAGCTCCTTTTAAATGAAGAGGACGAAGAGAAGGAGCCTCTTCTCAATGCACGGGCGTGCAGAGCTGCCAAAAGGCAGGAGTGGCTCCTCAGGAGGAAGTTTCCTCGAGAGTAAGGCTTGGGGCTAATTGGCCACTCTCTTAGCCTATTTAAGGAGGAACGCCGCTTGCAGCAAACTGTAGGGAACAACTTCGCATCCGGATTCTCTGCAAAATTGCTTCTGGGCTTTCTGCCAACTCTAGTAAGACTGTGATTACCTTATCTTAGAATTCTGGTAGGCTGTTAAGACAGTTTATTAACAGCCTTTGGTTGATAAAGATTGAGTTATTTGAGTAAAATAAGCTTTGTATAGAGTTTGTGTGTGCTGCGTTCTTTGGGGTCCATAGCTGGGACAGAACAGCTACCGGTTCACTTGAACCGGTCCGAACCGGTAACATTTCACCCCTGGATGGGCCGCTAATAAATTTTATAAATAAAATGAATGAACAAATAACCTGTATACAGGCAGTTCTCGACGTACGTCCATAATTGAGCCCAACATTTCTATAACAACATTTCTGTTGCTAAGCGAGACACTTGTTAAGTGAGTTTGGCCCATTTTGCAACCTTTTTTTTTTGCCACATTTGTTAAGTTAGTAACATGACTGTTGAGTGAATCTGGCTTCCCCGTTGATTTCGCTTGTCAGAAAGTCACAACAGGTGATCACATGACCCCCAGGACCGTCATATATATGAGCCGGTTGCCAAACATCTGAATTTTGATCACGTGATCATGGGGATGCCACAACAATCCTGTGAAAAACAGTCATAAGTAACTTCGAACACAGTCACTACACGAATTGTCGTAAATCGAGGACTGCCTGTTCTAGGATGCCTGAATTTACTCCTTTCTCCAACCAATGAAAACGCTTACCTCGGCCGTATAATCGACTTTTATTTTAGTAATGACCCAATAGCAAGGCTCATCGTATTCCCATAGCCAGGATTTACGGGTGACCATCCTGCCAATGCCAAAGAGGCGCAACCGGGAAAGGAGCATAAAAAGCCTGTTCTCATTCCTCACATCCTCCCAGGCCAGCACTGGGAGGCGTTTGCCTGTGAAAGCTCGGGTCATCTTCTCGTAATCCACCGCATAACGTTGGGAGTCACGAGGTCGGTTTTTTAAAGCCCAGTATTCGCGGATTTTCTTGGCCTTGGCTGCAATCGGGCGATATCCCATATAACGACCCATCGCTGCCTATGGAAAGATAATCCAGAAGAGTTAGCTGTTCAAAGGCTAAGAACTTTGAACACGTGCTTTCCGCCGTGCCCTCAAGACCCTGATGTTCCAACAGGCGGGGCTAAACATATGAACATGTGAATGATTTTTTAAATGTGATCTAATTCTGGGTTTTATTTAATTGACCAAACTAAGTAATAATTTTAATTAGCAATTTTTTATTTTTATTTTTTTAATTTGATTTATATGCCGCCCTTCTCCGGAGACTCAGGGCGGCTTACAATGCGTTAAGCAATAGCCTTCATTCTTTTGTATGTTTTATACAAAGTCAGCTTATTGCCCCCACAAACTGGGTCCTCATTTCACCTACCTTAGAAAGGATGGAAGGCTGAGTCAACCTTGAGCCTTGGAGAGATTCGAACCAGCAGAAATTGCAGGCAGCTGTGTTAATTACAGGGTGCACTAAACCCCTGTACTATCAAGGCCCTGTTTTATGATGTTTGTGTGTCTATATTTTTCTTGACTGTACACCGCCTTGAGTCCTACGGGAGAAAGGCGGTATAGAAATATAATAAATAAATAAATAAAATAAATAAAGAACGAATCTACCACCTGCCGCAAAGCTGATTGGGGGGAACTGTCATCCAATCAAGCCTACCTTACAAAGAAGTCAGGAGGATAAAAGAGGAGGCAGAAGACTCCTGGGAATTCCCCCTTGGGAAAGGTAAAAAGCCACACACACAAAGACACAAAATCTGTAGCTGACTTGATAAATATCAACTCTCTCCTTTTCAGGATTTCAACAATGCTTTGAACCAAAATTAACCAAGGGTTGCATAATCCCATAATGCAACCAAGGGGTGCAGCACCCCTTCTGTCACCTGGGGAATTATATTATTATTGAAATTATATTACTTGTCAGGTTCACTCTCTGACTTGTAGCTTGTGGGTTTCCAAGCATTTCGTTACCAGGATAGGTAACATCTTCAGCAGAGATTAGGGGATGTCAGTGTATATTATATCATCATTGTTATGGCTATTGATGTTATCCTTCCTTTATAGTTAGTTAGTTAGTTAGTTTACTTTATTGCCACTGCACCTCGTACCACGAAATTAAATGCCATCTTCAGAGTACATTATAACTATAAAAATAAAACACAAACACATATCCTTCACATTCTATACAATTGAATTGAAAACCCCTGATATTGCATTAATATTGCACTATATAGTGGAATTCAAAATGGTTACTGCTCTGGGATAGAAGCTGTTTTTCAGCCTATTTGTCCTTGTTTTTAGTGTCCTGTACCGTCTGCCAGAGGGCAATAGTTCAAAAATAAAAAAGGTGCCCAGGTGCCCAGGATGAGATGTATCTTTAAGAATGTTTTGAACTTTCTTAAGGCAGCGGCCGATAATCACTAAAATCACAGAATGCGCAGAAATGGATAAACTTACAAAAGAGCTACAAGAGAAAGATGACACAGAGTACTACTTAGCATGGCAAAAATGGTATAACTGGTTGGAGAAAATGTTAGAAATACATTCATAGGGACACTAAAGAATAAGGTCAATTTTGAGACAAAACTTTGAGTGCCAATGAAGGAGTGTTAACAATTTTAAAGATGGAACCTATATTAATGCTTCACATGTAAATATGCAAATATACAGATATATAGATAAATACGGAAATATAGTCTACCGATGTGACAACTTTAAGAGCAAGTCATAAAACTTGATTGATGTTTGTTTATTTTGTATGTTGTATCGCTGTATTTATGTTTGTTTGTAGTTTTAACTAATAATTTTTTAAAAAAAAAGTTCTTGTAGCCCAACCACCTGCTCGAGCAGGAGAGACTATATATAAATCAGTGTTTCTCAACCTTGGTAGCTTGAAGATGGGTGGACTTCAACTCCCAGAATCCCCCAGCCAGCAGCGCTGGCTGGGGGATTCTGGGAGTTGAAGTCCACCCATCTTCAAGCTTCCAAGGTTGAGAAACACTGCTATAAATGGACAAATTTACCAGGAAAACCTTGACCGGCTCTGAGTCGGTCAGTCGGCCTACCTCGCGGAGTTGTTGTTGGGGAGACCAGCTCAGCAGATACCTCGCTCCTTCAAGCAGCCCTGCGCTCCCTTCTCTTGCTCCTGATTCCCCGGCCACTCAAAGGCACCGCTCCGAGCAAGGGCGGTCCCCCTCCCTAAATCCTCCCCCGAGCCTCACTTCCGCCCCTCTTCGGGGCTTTGCTTGAATCCCAAACCTTCGCCCACGCTCCAGTGGGGACGGTGCAACCTCATAGGGAGCTCGGCGAGGAACACTTCCGCCCCGGTATCTTTTTTTTTTTAAAGTCTCACATTTAGCCGAGGTTGGTCCGTCCTTATAAATCATCCGGGCGCCCACGCACACTCGCTCCTTTGCTTCCGGCCTTAGACGCTTGGGAAAGGGCGGGCCGTCGCTATAAACGATCCGGAAGGCAACACTTCCGCTCCTTTCCTAAAATGATTTTTTTTCACTTATTTATTTTTTTTCCGGGATGATCCCGATTGCTCCTCCAAGCTGCTTTGCTACTCTTCGCTTTCCTTCTTCCCGTGTTTGGTTGCTGTTTTTCCTCTTCGGCGAAATGGGCGTTTTGTCGCGATCCAAGTAGTAAAAAAGGTTGCTGGAAGAGCCTTTTCTCAATAGGGATCAGGATGGATCAGAGGTCTTCAAACTTGGCAGCTTTAAGACTTGTGGACTTCAACTCCCAGAATTCTCCAGCCAGTATAACTGGCTGGAGAATTCTGGGAGTTGAAGTCCACAAGTGTTAAAGCTGCCAAGTTTGAAGACCTCTGGGAGGGAGGGATGGATGGATGGATGGAATGATGTGTAATGTATATATCCCTTCTTTGTTAATGAAATGCATTCTCTTATTTCGTTTCCAGGCTTGGAATTGCTGTAGCTGATATGGCTGTGGGAGACTCTGGACATGCGGCTGCCTTTTATTCTCCCTTTCCCTTCCAAGAGATGTCCCACAATGTTCTCTTATCATAGCCCTACTTAAGCGACCCAGATAAAACACTTGATCAGCTGTTGCTGCATTGGTAGAAATGCCTAGTGATGTGGAAAAGCTTTGCTCGGCTGCATAAGCCACAACAAAAAGTGTAGAGATTTTAGGGGCAGAGGTTCTATAAATAAATTGGCTTCTATTGACCGTATTCATATCCACAGGGTCCAAATAGGGAGAGATGGCTCTTTTAGTATGACTTAGTTTGAAAAAAAAAAAGCTATTTCTATTAATGAAAGGAGATCAGGTGAGCTTGGCTTTCTGATCAAATTGAGTTTGTTGACTTGTAGCCAACCTTTAATCGGGATACTTGAATGTTTCAGCAATGACCGTTGGCCCTGTTTAATATTGACGAGAATGTAGGTTTTTTTACCGGTAATACATATATAAGCTTTCTTGCAAATTTCCTGAAACGATGTTCAGCTTTTGATATTTTTACAAACATAGCTTGGATGATTGCTGCTGATTTAACATTCGACTTGATAATGTAGACTGGAAAGAGGGTAAACTTAAATCATGGAGGGGAAAAAGAAGACTGTTGCTCTTGATGGAAAAAGAGCGATCACGTGGGAAATTTCTGATTCTGAAGAAGACGGTGATGTTAAGCCAGAATCCTCGACTGCTTTTGCAATTTATTCAGATGTTGGAGCTCAGGGCTGCTCAGACAAACAAGAATTAGAGCCGGGCATGGCAAAAGCAGTTCCTTTGCTTATACCATTGACACAAACCGTATCCTGTAATTCAAGGCCTGAGAAAAAAAAGAAAAAGCAGTCCCTGGAAAAAAACAAGACGGCCCAGATAAAAACGGAAGAAAAAAAGAAGAGCATGGACAAAAAAGAAGAGAAAATGAAGATAAAACAGCAAATTGCAGCTGAGAAAGAGAGACGGAAAGAAGAAGCAGCTGCCTTGAAATTCCTTCGGCCTGATCAGTGCATGAAGCAAATGATTGTCTGTGTGGATTCAGGTAGTATGTTTACATTGTGCAGTTTATTCCTTTCCACTTTTGGTTTGGTGTTTTTGGTGCCTTTATATCAGTCCCTGCAGTTTTCTTGGAAAGATTTCAGAAAAAAACCCAGCTGGTTTCAGGACTAGAACTTAAAAATGGTCCCGTTTCTAGCCCAGTGCCTTTAACCATTATACCAATGGCACTTTTCTTGGCAAGATTTTTGAGAACAGTCTTCTTCCTAGGGTGATGAGAGTCACTGAGCCAAAGTCACTCCCCTGGCTTTGTGCCTAACGTAGAATTAGGAATCAGTCTCCTAACCTCTGGCCTGATACCTTAAACCAGGGGTGTCAAACTCATGGCGTCACATTGTTGTCACATGATGTATCACGACTTTTTCCCCCTTCGCTAAAACGGGTGGGCATGGCCAGTGCATGACGTATCCGGCCTGCAAGTTTGACATCCCTGCCTTAAATTACACCAAGCCATTTCTACATGCTGCATTCCCATGTTTTATCAGGAGGGAATTCAAGGGGAAGTGTTTTCACATAGTACCGCGCTGTAGAGTTGAGATGCCACCCAATGATCCAATTTGTTATGCTTTCTCTTCAGGTCTTCTAGAGCACTCTGGCTCTGATATCTTGCTGGAAGTTTTGGATACTTTGGACTGTAAATATCAGATTGAGCATCAGGTCATTCCACACAGCATAACCTGGAAGAGAAAAGTCTTCAGCAGTATGTCTGGTTCAGTAAGTATCTCAATCAAAACTCCACTGATAGCCAAAGAAACAAAACTGTGTGTGTCTCTGTGTGTCTTACTTATTCTGTGCTCATCTGCTTTGAAGGTTCTCACCTTGAAGGTTTACATTCATTTAGGCTTGCCTCTGCAACACATTGAAAAGAGTTGGCCCAACTCCGATAAAACACATTATTGTTGAGGCTCTTTGAAGGGAAATTCAGCAACATATTTGGATTAGAACGGATTTCTCCATTGGAAGTTGAGGACAGCCGTGTGTGTGAAATGCTGCTCTGCTCCTATGGATTACTGATCCATTAACCTGTTTTGCCATAGTAGCTAAATTCCTGCTCAGAGGTTAATAGAAAAAACAGACGCAAAGCGATCAAGGAAGATAATAAATATAACAAGAGTCCCAGAGTCGAATCTTTGTTGGGCTTGTCCCATTTAAACCATTATTTGTTCCCTAATGGATATGTGTCAGCTATGAAATTCACTGATTTTAATAGTTCTGTGGCTGCTCAGCTAATAAATCAGCCTGACTTGCCAAACTTCCTAATATTCAAAACCCATATATTTAAACCCTAGCGTTAGCTACTAAAGGTCACTGATTTGACGGGGGTGAGGGCAGTCAAACGTTTCACCTTAACTTTGTTTTTTATCATTGTGTTTTTATAGCAACGACAGTTGCTATAAATGGATGATATCTTTATACTCTTACACTAAAAAGTGGGGTGTGAGCTGGTCTGTGACTGAATTTTAAAACAAAATTATTTGAAATTCATGAAGAAAAGCAAGAGAATGCAAGCATGAGGTGAAAGAGGAAAGTAAGCTAAGAGCATCTTAAGGATCTCTTCTCTGCGTCTGCAAATCACCATTGGGAGTGGATGTTTTTAGTTTGACCTAGCGAAACCGTTCTTTTTTCTCTTCTGGCAAAAGATTAACTTCATTTCCACAGGACGGTTGTCAAGAAGAGACTGCAGTGGAAAGGGAGGTCCTGCTAGTGATGCAGCCTTCATACTTCCTCAGACAACTTTCGTCATCAATGCAGGTGCTGTACAGTACCTTAAGTTGTGAATACGAATGTTTGAATGGCAAGGGTTGGCTTTCCTTCCCCGTTGCTTAATTTTGCTCCATTTTTTTTTTACTGGACCCCATTGTCCGAGTGTGCCTTGATTCTCTGCTTGTTACGCCTTATATGAGGAGGAGGAGAGGAGAGGAGAAGATGGTGTGTTTCAGAGCTTTATCTTATTTCCAGACACCTAGGGAGATGAAGCTTAATAATTGAGAGGAAATGCAATAGAAAGCTAGATTGGCAGCAGGCAGAATCCAAGAGGACAGTACTGGAATCATTAAGCAAAAAAGGTGAGCGGGGCAGTGGGGAGGGAAATGGTGAGCCAAGGTATATGATGGGGAAAAAAGTATGATAGAATAGATTATATTTCTTACATTACAAAAATCCTACACTGCGGAGACTCAGCCAGGAGAGTAAAATGGTATCTCTGCTCTGTTTCAGTTTATTGTTCAAATTTTTAAGGGAGGTATAATAGGTACTGGCATACTATAGTTGCAATTTGGCCACTCGTGTGTGTAAAGGTCCCCTTGCACATATGTGCTAGTCATTCCCAACTCTAGGGGGCGGTGCTCATCTCCATTTCTAAGACGAAGAGCCAGTGCTGTCCGAAGAAGTCTCCGTGGTCATATGGCCGGCATGACTCAACGCCAAAGGCGCACGGAACACTGTTACCTTCCCACCAAAGGTGGTCCCTATTTTTCTACTTGCATTTTTTACCTGCTTTCGAACTGCTAGGTTGGCAGAAGCTGGGACAAGTAATGGGAGCTCACCCCGTTACGCAGCACTAGGTATTCGAACTGCAGTCTGGTTTTAATTCAGGAAAGATTAGAACCCCAGGAATTGTTTTAAAAGTAAGAACGTTCAAAATCCGGCACCTGGAAATAGAACACAAATATATTCAACTACTGAAGAAAGAAAGATAGCCAAGTGATGGGTATTAACACAAAAGGAGGAGGTTCAAATAACGAGCAACTGACACAGTATTTATGCTAAGAATCCATCACAATATTCCAACCTCAAAAAGCACATCAGGGAAGGTTTGTGATATTGATAACCATTGGTAAAATAACTCCAGTGCAGTTACCTGGGAGTTTAATATTATTAAGAAAATTAATGCAAGCACATTTGAGGTTGGAGTTCCTTCACCAGTGGAATCCAAAATAGTTTTTACAAATTCATATGTAAAAAGTGGTAGATGAGTTTTTGATTCTAAAACCTTGTTCTAATTCTAGAACGCAAGTCCTGATGGCCAGCAGAGTGTACCAGATCTTATTCATCTGTGTCCCTTTCACAATCTGGAAGAGCCTTCTGCAATATCTTACAGTGTGGTTGTCATTGGACTAGACACCTATCAATGGTACACGGGATTGGAAGGGCTGTGTGAGGAGGCAATAAACATTGGAGTTAAGTTTGAATACTTGCAGTCTGACTTCTCCTGGCTTGTTCTGCCTGCAGCAATTTAGGATGTTGGAAATCCCCTCATTTGTTATTGGCAGAATTGGTCGCGGCTTCTTGCTCCGCTAGTTAGCAGAGGCATCCCAGGTCCGGAGCAGATTGACAGGCTTCTAGGGAGCTCTCGCCCTTCGCACCCCCGAATTTCTCCTAGGGCACTTGGGGGGTTCTACCTCCGCCTGTCGGCCCTCCTCTCTCCCCTTTGCCCAGGGAGAAGGTTTCCAAGCCATCAGACAGCTGTTTTTCTGCTGTTCTGGCGGCTTTTACGGTGCCAGGGATCGGGCGCTCAGAGAAGCGTCTATGAGGCGCGCGGAGCCAACCGGAAGTCTCACAGTGTCCTTGACATACAGAATTGTAGGTGTTCATCTTTGACCCTTATATTTTGTTTCATGACAATCTTGGGTTTTTTTATGATAGTGCAGATTACCAATAAAGACTGGAAACAGATAGTATAAACGTGCTGTTTTACCCCACTTAACTGGGGAAAAGTTGATTCAAAGGGTATTAACGTGTAAACAGTCTTGCTTGTACTTGTTCACTTGAGGCCGTTTGAGGCAGGGATGTAGTAAGTAAGTCTAACTGGGCTTAGGATTCTGGGATTTCAGCCGTATAGCCAGCTTTCTGGTCAAAGGATAAGCTGGTACTAAATACAGAACAAACTCCAATGCTGACAGGAAGACTCAAAGTGCACCACGTCCCCTGGTTCTCCATTACCTTCTGCCGGATGTTAATTCAGCTTTCCAGTCTTGTTTATAGTGTTGGGATTTCCTGCATCCCTTCCAAGTATTAACCAATCTAATCCTGTTTAGCATTTTCAAGCTCATTTTAAGATTCTTAGGAAGAAGCAGCAACACTTCTAACAACAAAAGGCAGCAAGACAAGTTCATTCTTTGCTATTGACTGCCTCAAAATGCCTCGGTGGCTTAAATTAACATACACTTTCCCTGCGTGCAAGTTTCCAAACCACAGTAGGTTGACAAAAATAATTTGTGTGTCTTTGAAACAGTCTCGACTCCTGGTGATTGAACAAGTCCCTGCAGATTTCTCAGTAAGAATTTTGGAAGTGGTTTCATGCTGCTTTCTTCCAAGGAGGGGGGAAAAAAAGAGAGACTGGGCTGAAGCTAGCCAGCTGGCTTTGTGCTTAAGATAAAAGAACTGGTACATTATACCAAAATATTAATTCCCCAATTGGGGTTCTTCTCTGAATTGCCTAGGTATCATCAGCTTCCGCAAGAAGAACCAGTCGCTGGACTGGAGAATGAAACATCGCAGTTTGGTCCAGAACAGTCCATGACACGGCATGAAATTGAAGAGGTAAACAAAGCAATGAGTTTATCAACCAGAACAAAGGGCTGCGTTCTCCCAGGGGCATCTGGGTTCTCCTTTGAATCCCTTGCCCGATTTAATTTACACCCTTACACCACATCAAGGATGATGTAGCAAAAACACTAAAACAGGAATGACCAGTTCGTCATTGCCTGAACATTAGCCGAGATGGACGGGAAGAGTGTTGAAGCCTGGAACCCCACCATGGATATGCAAGAAAGGTCAGATGTGTTTTTCTTCTCATTTTGAGTCTCTACTTTCTCCTTGCAGGCTTTGGTGGTGTTGCAACTCCAGGGTAACATAAACGTCCTGTTCCTGGAAACGTGGCAAGAATTGGCCCAGCATGTTTCCGCGGTGACCAGAGCTATAGCACAGCGTCCTTATAAGTGAGTGTCAGTTGTCAGGTTGCCTTGGCAATGCTTTGGAGCTGTGAAATAGGAACCAAAAGATACTATCCTACAACCCTTTCATAAAGAAACCTAACCTGTAAATTAAGGTTTTTGTGTGAGAAATTTATCTTTGCAGGACTGAAGAGATACCATGAGATTGTTTCTTTTAAAAAAAATATTCAGCGTTCAGTGTTATACGGATACAGCTACTGCTTGGTTTAGAACAAGCCACAAAGTTTTGTTCTGCCTTGCTTGCAAGTGGTTAGTGTTACAGGGTCCATTGATAATACCTACTTCGTGTTTAATAATGTTTTAGCAGGGAACGTTCTGAGCTCCAAATGGTCCCAGCCCAATCTTAGGAATGGGACATTCTGACTGTTGTGGTTCGCCAGCAGCCTGCAGAGCTGGCAGTGGAGTCGGACAACGATGAGGCTGAGGAAGAATGTGGGCCAGTCCTGGAGGCTGGGAAAGGCCCAGATGAGGGCTCTGCATCAGAGGCAGAGATGGGGCCAGGGCCATCGGGGAATGAGGTGCGGACTCCAGAGCCTCCAGAGACTGATAGGAGTGAGGCAGAGGAACAGGAGGAGCCTGTTCCTAATGCATGCATGAGAAGCGCTGCCAGAAGGCAAGAGCAGCTCAAGCAAAGAGGACAACTCGGGAGTAGGGCCAAGAGATGATTGGGTCGTCCCATAAGGCTTAAAACAGACCAGCAATGGCGTTTGGGCTTTGCCGGAAAACAACGTTGATAGCTTCGTCTTCTTCTTAGTCTACCTCTTGTATTTATTTTTGTATCTGGGACTTCTAAATGTTTGCCAAGAAAGGCCTTTGGCAGTTTGCCTAATTGGACCAAGGTTTGCGATAGGACTGAGGAATTTGTGTTGGGAGGAATTTGCTTTAATTTAGTTGAACGATGCTGGGAATGAAGTAATTCTCAGTTGTTCGAATAAAGTTTGTTTTTTTCACTGACTGATTTTCCTACTTACTTGGGCCTGGGTCACAACACTGACCAGCATGGAAACTGTCTGACTCAAGACAACCCCTTCGGAACAGGTTATTATGTGGTCAGTTCCGACATGTTAAGCCAAAATGGTAGCCTATGTATAACCCGTACCTAATGGCTTCTTTGACAGGAAACATCAGGAAAAGCAGCCTTTCTCCTTTTGTGCCAAAGGCAAGTGGGCTAGTGGTGTGCATATTGGCAAGGACGGGAAAGGGCTCCAAGAGACCTGGCTGAAACAGATCCAGCAGCTCAACCGAGTCAGTCCAGCCATGGCAACAGCTATTGCCCAAGCCTACCCTTCGCCAAGTCTCCTGCTACGGGTCAGTTCATTCCCCCAGTTGCTTTGTCTTGGCCAGCGGTCAGCAACCTTAAACACTCAAAGAGCCAAAAAGTTCTGGAGCTGACCGGAAGTCCAGTTCCCCCACCATAGAGTCTCCTCCTAGTGTGGTGTCCTTTTCCCTTTACTTGTCCTAACCAAAAGCCCTATCAATTGTGGAGCCGAACTAAAAACCTGTCCCTTGCCAGAGTCTCCTCCTGGAGCATCGTGCTTTTCTCCCTCCTAACCAGAAGCTCCTTGCAAAATTGTGGTGCCGACTGGCGACAGGGAGCCGCAGCAGAGGGATGAAAGAGCTGCATGTGGCTCCAGAGCCGCAGATTGCCGACCCCTGGTCTTGGCTGTAGAGAAGGGAAGAGAAATCAAGGGAGGCAATTCTCAAGAATAGGGGCTAAAATCAGGCACTACATCTCTGTTGTCTCAGAGTAGGGTTAAGTAGGCCGCAAGTAAAAGAGACAGACTTCAGAGAAGGGGAAAATAATACTAGTGGGATGTTTACTCAGATGTTGCAGTGTCAAGAATTACTATGAAGGCTGGTTAAAGCCACTCCTAGTAAACTTAATTCCATTCTCTCCGAGGGTCAGTTTCTCATTATTCCAAGCCTATTGAGTTCTCCTGGGCGAGGAAGCATTTCTGGGCTAGGTTTTTTTTCCCCTCCTCTAAATACTTTTGTTTCCCTGCAATACAGCCAGTTTTTTTGCTTCTTGATGGCCGCAGGGCTTGTTTTGTTTACATAAGGATACTCCTTAACAAAACAAATTGTAGATCAGATCTTTAATGATAAAAGCCATAAATGAACTCATTAATTTCACTGGACTTTGCCCAATGCTGAGTTTTTCTTAACCCAAAGCCTTGTAATAGCGATGCTCCAGATCCGTTCTCGTGGCAAACCAGCCTTGCTTATACCTCATCACTTTTGCTATCAAGAGCTCTTTTCTAGACAATTTAAGTTTTAAAACAGCGCTAGGGAGAAACGGGGATTGACAGTGAAATAACCTCACATAAGCATAGAGACCAGATTACCAGAAATACATGGCAACTGGGTATCCTTGCTTTCTTTCAGGCCTACCAGGAATGCAAAACAGAGGCAGAAAGACGACTTCTCCTAAGCAACCTCCAGGTCAGAACTGAGGACAGTAAAACGGAGAGACGGATCGGGCCAGACCTCTCTCGCCGGGTCTACCTTTTCATGGTATCTACTAATCCAGAGCTTGTCCTAGATTTAAGTTGTTGAAGCACCTTGTTGTGCTGTTCTGACCACTGGGTCATAGCTCCTTAGCCTTATAGCTTACTGCCAAAGCTACAGGATTTATTGCGGAAACGGCGTTTGGCAAAATCAATAAATGTCCTTGTGCACAAATGTTATCAATGAGCCTATCTTGACAGTGTATTTTTTTAATCTCCATTCTTCTGCCAAATAATTTATTTTATGCTATTATTACATATCATTATGCTGTTTGTTTGAATGTGTAAAGATACCCTTGGCATATTTTTGGGGGTTCATGCATTAAACCATAATGTGGCTTGGTGGCTCTATGCTTGAGAAGAACCTAGCTTGAGTATAAAAGTGTGAATGGGTATTTTAACTGCAGGAAACATAATACAAAAACAACAACACTGAATCCCTTATTTTAGTGCAATCTTAATCCCAGTTAAGTAATCAATTCCGTGAAACGAAAGCTCGGTGTTCGCTTTCATTTAATCAGACGACACAAGGGAGTTGGAAGGGAATCTATTATACTGCCAAATCACAGTGGTTAAATTCAGAAATTAATACTTATCCATGATTTATTACAAAATGATGCAGCTTTGTTCCCTTCATACACCTCCTTTCACAATGAACCACACTTTGTCATTTGCATTGAGCATAGGAGAAACCGAAGGGAATGTAATTGCCCTTGTGCTTATCCATACATTAAAAATATCAAGAGCGCCTTTTCTGGCTACCCACATAACCATAAGTAATCATTAGGGAAAGACCATACCAATACTGGCTTTTAAACTGCAAAATGCCCCACCAGTACGTATCCTTGCAGTTAGTTTTTAATGAAACAAATCAAAGAAAGAATTGGCATATTTAAACTTACCTCCGCAGGAAATATACATGGGATGTGAATACCTCTAAATAAGTAAATTACAGCTGGCTGTGAAAGAGGAAATGCAGGACTCAAGATCCAGAAGAAAGCAGGAGCATCCAGAGCTGAAGTTCATCCACATAATTCCAACTACTAGCCTGATATTACGTTTGAATCAGATCATTTAAGAATTAGGGAACCTGGTTAGAATTCTCTCGAGATGAGAGGACAGTAAGGTTGATGGACTAGCCTATCATCACTGATCAAAGTCTGTATATATTTTAATTCATTTGGGTAATAGTTCAATACAGGAGAAGCAATAAGACATGCAAAGAAGGTTGAAGAGTTGCAGGGCTCACATGATACCACTTACGCTGTCAACGGTTAACGTTCTCTTCTGAATACCAAAGCACTGAGAATCGAGGAGAGCCATTTGGCTCTGGAAAGACTGCTTGCTCCTCTGCTCCAAAAGACTGGAGCCCTCTACTGCAATTCACATAGCACATGTGGTAGCTTCTGAGGTTTCCCTAAGCATTCCCTTGGCTGCAGGAAAGGATTACTTATTGATACACTGGGCTGCCAAAAGCCTGACTTTCGAACAACCTGTTCCAGGAAACGTGGCAAACCAGAGTTGATGACCTGCCGGGCCACGTGGTACAACGAAGCTGTGGAAACTGCTTTGTCTCTTTAATGGTACATTGAAAACGGGCTTTAGTGTTCAAACAGGATACAATCAGGAAGGTAAAATGTCACTCGGTAACACTGAGGGAACAGCTTATCCTTCATGACAACACTGTCTTTCGAAGGGGGGGGAGGGGGAGAGAAATAAATTAAGTCCTCCACCTGCATCTCTTCCGATGGCGTGCCTCGGCATCCGAGCCACAAGAGCTGTCTGAATCGCTTCCTGAGGAGGTAGAAGAGGAGGAGGAGGAGGAAGAGGAGGACTGGAGCGAGCCACAGTTCATGCTCAACACCCAGCCCAATCTGTTGTGCAAAATCTGCTTGAGTCCCGGAGGGAGGGGAAGCACCTCTAGTGTGTCCACGTAGTCAGGAAGCAGCTGGCGGAGACGGTAGCAGCAGAGGTATTGCAGAGAGGTGGGGGTAGCGCAGGAGCGGATGATTTTCATGCTACTTTTGGCTGCAGTTGAACACACCATCGGGTACACTCTCTTGTTCTGGAGTTTGGTGGCAGCCACACCTGAGTCAAAAGATCAGCAAAGAAGTCCAAGGTTAACAGGCAGACATGGAATTGGGGGGGAGGGGGAGAGAGAGAGAGAGACTGTCTGGGGATAAAGCTGCACTTCCTTTATTCCTTTAGCATTTCTACAATGAGACCTTCCACTTTAGGCCGCAAATTCATTACAGCTGCATGGTTCTGTTGTCCTTTTCTATGGACCCAATAGTGAAAATTGACCGGGCGGTTTTTATAGTCTTCCTAGGAAGCTATACGAGTACCATGGACAAATCCAATTACCAAGCAGCCGACTTATAAATTGTCGTTTTACACATATGTAAAATATGCATTTGCTATTTAAGAGGCCTTTATCTCCAGCAGATACCTTCCCATAGCCAATCTGTTAAATTGGTTTGTTAATACAATTATTCTTTTCTAGTTTACATTATGCTATGCAGGTTAGTTTTCAACAGGTAAAATACTTAGGTGGTCCTTTCCAGGTAGCTGTACCGCAAGATAGCCCCTCTCCCCTATTAAAATAAAGTCTGATTTTGGAATGGAAAACAATCTGTTGCCTTTTAGAGATCCTCCCATAAATTTTATCCATATTTCCCATATTTCCCTAGTTTAAAAGTACATCTGGCCTCTTCCACCTTACCTATACATTTCCTGTTTTTGAAAAAGGTTAAGGTTCCATGCCATGTGTCCAGATGCACCCCAATAATGGAGCCCTGCCCAAACCTTGTCGAAAAATTGCTCCGTTCCCCCTTGTGCTGGAGGAGTCCTACAGAGAAAGGGACATTTGCAATTATAACATTGTAGGCTTCTAATTTCTGCAAAGATAAAAAGGACCCTTTAAAGTTCATCTAACTCTGTTTAAGATAGTTTGTAATGCAAGAGGCAAAACAAGATTCTCATCAGATAGTTATCTGCTTACCTAAACTCCTCCAGCAAAGTCCATGGTCTTCTAAAACAATCCATTTCCTTTCAACAGTTTTTATTAATGTTTCACCAAAATAGTTGTCCCCGTCCCGCCCAAAATGTTCAGCCATTGATCTATTTCCTAGACCCACAAAGAACAAGCCTGGCATGATTTCTACCTGACGGCATTTTAGATATTTAAAAATATGTTTCCTAAAAATAAGTGTCTAGTTCTTCAAATAATTTGGATTTTTTTCTCTTCTAGTCCTAAGGCCTAGAATGCTTCCTCAAATATTTGTGAAATTATAGTGTTTCAAATCCCAAATCAATTTTGAGATTGTGTATATGATTTGCCATCACTTTTTAGAAATCATTCTCTAATAAAGAGGAACACATTTTCTCTGTGGATGCCAGAAAATGCTAACGCTAACTGAACAATATTTGCAAATCAACTATTACAAAGGGACAGTTACATCCACACAAAACTTTAGGAAAAACAGTTCTTGTATTCAGGCATCAGCTGCAAAAATTCACCTGTAAATTACAAATCCAGATTTATAAATAAATGAAACCTTTGCTGTTATTACCTGTGTAGGAAAGACCCCAGCTGTCTTCATCTTTTCCCAACAGGCTACAGAATGTGTGACGGAATTTATCCAGGTTCACATCTGATGTTCCAATACCCACCATCTAGAGGGCATGGGATGGATGGAAGGAAAAAACGCAAGAGTGATCAAATATTACTCCTTATGTAACAACCATTCATTTAGTGACTGCTCAAAGTTAAGACAGCACTGAATTAGAACCGTGGCATAGCCTTATGGTCACATGACCGTAATTTGGATGTTTGGCACTTGGCACATATTCACAACAGTCACAGGAGCCCAAGATCCTGTGATCTCTATTTGTATCTTTCACAGCTGATTTCCAACCAGCAATGTCAATGGGAAAGCCAGCAGGAAGTCACAAGTCAAAGTTGCGTGACATAATTAATAACCCATGGTGATTCACCTAATGACTGCAGCTGGAACTGACAAACTGCCATTGTTAAGTTGGGCATGGTCATGTATTCTTTCTGATTTTTGGCATACCATGCTGTACGAGCCCAATCTCTGGAGGTTTAAAAATCACAATCTATGCCTTGTACAAAGCAGATTTATATAGCCATTGAATCCAGTACTATTCTGTTCTATGACTTATTTATCATCTGTTTCTTTAGCTAGAAACACCAGAATTTAAACCTCAAAATCTTCCATATACTGAAAAGGCTCCATGGACCATTCAGTTATTTTCCTCCAACAACACGGCCACATCCAGGCAGCAAAGACACTACATGGGAAAACTGTGAAGACTGTAGGTGAGACTGTTCACAAGGACAATAGCCTGTATACTCTGTACTCAGCCCATGTGTATATAAGTGGTTTCCTCACAAAAAGGTCCACTTCTCAACCACGTATCACTCTCCTGTATTGGGAGCATTTGGCGCTTATGCCAGCAAGAGAGTGGCTTTGTTGATACTTGATTATCCTCTGTGATATCTGACTGCATTTTTTTCTTAAAAAAAAAAAAAGAAAGATTGGATACAAACTGTTTGGAGCTGGTGGAGCAAAATAGATCTTAAAAAAAAAAAATTAAAGACAACAATTAGTGCTACTACAACTACCCACAATGTATTTAATGTAAATGCTGCCCGTGACAGAAACCAATGAAATGTAATTATTGATGAATTTTATTAATTTTTTAAAAAAACTGATTACAGTACCCATTGTCAGGTTTTATCCAACATACCATGTCAGTGCCATAGACGGGTGAAGTCATCTTGATTTCCCAAAAGTGCTGACCTTCTGCTAGTTCCTTGTTCCCCCTGATGGCAGCAGTACCACAACTGTAATCCATGTGGAAATTTACCTTGCGATTGTCACAAGTCAAGAGAGTATTTGCCGATTTGTTCAATTCATCCCATACCCAGTCAAAATCTTTGGAGAGAAAGACACAGAGAGAAAAGTAGTGTGAATGGGGAACACCTCCAACCATTTCACCCCAAATTATGTCTGTCAAATTAAGTCTAGTTCAATTTTTTTCGAATGTAGTGTCAAGGCCAGTTTAAAGATGTGTGGACTTCAACCCCCAGAATTCTCTTATACCTCTGAAAGTGGCTAAGTTTGAAAAGTAGTTATTTAGTTGCTAAAATTATAAATACATCCCTGGATACCGCAGCACATATTATAGCAAAAACTGGACAAGGTTTCTATTCCCCCAAAATGTTCCCCTGTGCATTTGTGTCACTTTCCAAATATATACTCATAAACCTATAGCTCAGTAGAGGCTGAAAGGATCAACGAGACAACAAAAGAAAGAATTCAGAAGCTTTCTCACAATCATCTTCCTCTCCACACTGGCAATCTTTCATACGATGAGCCATGTGGAAGTTAGAGCAATATGGAGTTTCGTTCTGGTTCTCACAGTTGCAGTAAGATTCTCCGGTCACAGGTATGGCTGTGGGGATGGAAGGCAACTGAGAAGGAAATTCTGATTCTGAATCAGAGTCACTGTGCTGCTGGAGAAAGAAAAAAGAATGGTTACACCTTTTCCTCTTATTCTAAGAAAACATTTAGCAACAACAGGGGTCCCTGGGGAAAGTGTAAGATTTACGTGTTCTGGATGTCACATAATTCTATGTTTATGTCCTAAAGTCCATGTCTTTAATTTTTAGATGGTCTTTCTGAGGCTCACCAGCATCAAATTAAATCCTGCCAAATTCAAGGTAACTGGCTTTAATGAACTCCAATATTAATCAGGGAGTTAATTACAAGGTATTTGATTCTAGGCAGATTGGATTAAAGAAGTGTTAAATACTCAACCCTTGGAGATAATCAAGCACATAAAACAATCATAGCACCAGGTACTGTTTATACCATTATTTTATCCAGGACTAGAACATACATACCGTTAGAGCACCAGGCAAATATTTTATTCAAGCTGTCTTTGTACTATTTACATTAAGGCATAGTTCTAAAAAAAAAAGTTGACTTTATGCCCTATCGCTTATTCTATCAGCAAGAGCAACTTGTTTCCTTCCATGCTTTGTCTAAATTTACAGCTTTTTCCATTTTAAAAAAAACCCTCATTGTTTATTAAAAAGGAAGAAGCCATAAATCCAGAATTGGATGGCATTGTTAACAAACCATAGGACTTTCTTGTTCTAGTTAGCCACTTCCATCGTTTTTTAAAAAAAGTAAAAAGTACTGAAACCAGCAATTTAGTATCTCAGGTAAGAAGTAGTTACTTATTTACTTTACCTGGCATAAAACATTAAACATTTCTAGGTTTGATTCAATTCCAACCTAGTTATCAACTAAGGCTATGCAGAGATCCATATTCAAGGGCAAAATGTGACTTAAAGCAAGTTGCATATTTTCCTGGGCTCACACAGTTGCAGCACTGAATCCAAAAACCAGTGTGTTGAAGTTAATGTATTCCTGGCAAGCACTACATATGCGCTGACATGCACTACATATGGTCTCTGGATTCAGTTCATTGTATGAATGTACAATCTGTCAGAATTTACAAGAATCTGACAAAAGTGTCAAGTGTCCAGTGGAATTGTATCTTACAGGCAGTCTTGCAGAAAACAAAGCATACTTCACCTGCCCATCAGTGTCAGATGACCAGCCATGGGTTCCAGAAGCCGTTGTAAAAGTCCGTGAATCTGATTCTCGGCGCACTCCACTCAGAACATACCGCCAAGCTCTACTATTGCGCATGCGTCGCGCCATGGCCTCTTTAGAGAGGTAATCTGGAAGACAAAGCAAGATCTTACTCACAATGCCCTCTTCAAATGAATCGTCTCAATGTGCAACATTTTTTTCCCTTCAGACAAACATTACATATTAAGGTATATTCTGTGCCAAGAGAGAGAGAAGATACAGTAAGCTATATACACAGGAAAAACAATTGAAACTCCACTTATCAGCTAGGGCCAATTTTATCACACTAGACTTAAAGGAGAAACATGTACTCCATCACAAAAAAGCATCGGAAATATGACAGTAAATAATCTTTGGCCAAGATGAATGAGATCAAAACCAACGGGAACAGAAAAAATAGAGTCTAGAATACTGACTGTTTCCAAACTGGCTTGAAATAACCCATATTGTTTTAAACCAACCCTCAGATTTTTTTTCTTCTATCAAAATTCTTCTTCAGTAGAAGAGAAGCCATCAAATATACAGACAAAGGCAGGAAATGAGACAGCTGTTCTTAAATAAGTTGGATTGAAGTATTTGTTAAGGATATTGGATCAATCACTGATTCAGTAAGCAGGAAAATGACATGTACCTCCTGATATGTATTTATCTCCAGTTTATTACAATATTTCCCCCCCCCTCCATCTATTTCAAGCTCAATCCAACTCAAAAGTTTCAAAGCATCTTTTTTCTATTCTCAGTCCATAGTAGCAGTAATATGGGTCACCCTAACCATTCCTGGATGTGTAAAAAAATGCTCCCATAACTTACTAATGTTTGTTTTCCAGGACTCCTCACTTCCAGCCAATTCACAATGATTATCAGAGAGAGACGTAAATGTTACTTGAGCTAATAAGTACTCAATATTTAATGTTCCTAGATCCGCCTAAGACAAGCATCATATAATCAACAGCAAACCTTATGATTAAACTGACTCAAATGAGTGAGCCAATACATTCTGCTTGACAGCTCAACAACTGAGCTGCCTTAGGAGAAGATTACTGCAAACATTCCAGTGTATCTGAAGGCAGTTGTTTTGAAAACTAGGGTGGGATAAGAAGGTGCCCAAGCAGAAAATGCGCTAAACACAAACAACAAATGGCAATCTAAGTATCCTAAAGTATCCAAAGTATCCAAAGGCATCAATTGTCTAATATTTGAATCAGCTAGTCCCAAAACTGCCTTTCACTGTAAGAAAACATATTACCAAAAGGAAAAAGCTTGAATATGAATGGGGAAAGAAAAAGATATGAGAATGATTTTGATAATTCTAAAATCAGTATTTCAGGCTATCCAGATTTATAACCTAACCAGCATGCCTTCAGAATGCCAACGGATAGTCATCAAGCTTAGTCAAGAAAGGAAGAGGTCTCTTCTACACAAGGTTTAGCATCACAGAACAAACAAACACAAACTATTAAGGATATGGACAGTTTCCCTCTTATTTCAAAACAGAAAAAATATGCCTTTGGTTAGTATCTTTTTTAAAAAAATATCTCACCCTTCCTTTAGAAGCTTAAGGAGTACATACCACTCCTTCCTCCAATTTTTTCCCATAACAATACTGGGTGATAAACTGGGTGAGGGAGTCTTTCAGAGCTTCTGTGTTTTGGAGCTGAACAGATGTCCAGCGTATTATTTTTTTTGATAACAGGATTTTTATTTCTGAAACCACCATCAACAATGACTCTCATATGCAAACAAATGCAAAATAATGGATATCAGCCAGGCTTGAATATATTTGCTGTAGAAAACAGTCACCCACCAACTGCAAACAAAACTTATGTTTACAAAATACAGGTTTTTTGTTTATTTTAGTCCTCACTTGATAGGCAATATTTTCTCAACTTGTTTCAAACCCAGAAGTAGAGAAGTTTCTTGTCAACTGAAAGCAGAATATGAAGTAGCTTTAACAGTGAAAATGTGAAAACCAGAATCAAGCACTTATCTCTAACCCTGGCAATTCTCAAAGAGATTAGACAGCCACTTGTCAGAAATGGTATAAGGTTTCCTCCTTGAGCAGGGGGTTGGAGGAGAAGACCTCCAAGGTCTCTTCCAACTCTGTTATTCTATTTCCCAAGAAAACAATCAATTACCAAAGATAATGATCAGCCCAAACTATTTCATACCAACTCCATCCCACATTTTTCCCCCAAAAAATATTGGAAAGCAATACTGAGATTCAGAATCTTAACAGCTTTTTTCCTCCCCTCATCCCTTGCCAAGTCAATACTAAACTATCCATGAAAAAATCATTTCCAAGGGGACTTCAGGCTTCCCTGCCCAGCTTTATTATTATTATTGTTAAAATCCACATGCTCTGTTGAAGCAGGCTAATAAAAAGACCATCACGTACTTGGAGGAGTATTAAATTAAAACCTTTAATAACGTTAAGGTTAGCATTTCAACTCACTTTTCCAAGGGGGGGGAGGGGCAGCTGCTTCCTTTTGTGTTATAGAACTATATATACCGGTACAATATATTCAATATATACAATACATTGTATACAATATATATACTGTATACAATATATACACACACACACACACAGTTTCCCCCAAAATAAGACATCCCCTGATAATAAGCCCAATCGGGCTTTTGAGCGCATGGCAATAAGGCCAAGCGCTTATTCCAAGGTTCAAATAAATATAAGACAGGGTCTTATTTTCAGGGAAACACGGGATAGATAGATAGATAGATAGATAGATAGATAGATAGATAGATAGATAGATAGATATTGTATATAATATATTGTATACAATATATATATATAATATTGTAAACTATATATACATACACACACACACACAAAGATATTGTATGCAATATATATAATATATTGTATACAATATATATATATTGCATACAATATATACAATCTGAGAAGTGAGGGGTGGAAGAGCAGCGTCCAATTAATAAAATTGAGTTAATTGTCCCAAAGAATGAGGAATAGTAGTAACCCAAGGAGAAAGAAGGAGGGGGGGAGTTAACATAAGAAAGAAAGAAAGAAAGAGGGAGAGAGAGAGAGAGAGAGAGGGAGGGAGGGAGGGAGGCAGAGAGAGAAAGAAAGAAAGAAAGAAAGAAAGAAAGAAAGAAAGAAAGAAAGAAAGAAAGAAAGAAAGAAAGAAAGAAAGAAAGAAAGAAAGAAAGAAAGAAAGAAAGAGGAAGAAAAAAAGAAAGAAAAAGAAAGAAAGAAAGAAAGAAAGAAAGAAAGAAAGAAAGAAAGAAAGGCTAATTCAGGTCACAAAGGATTAGGCGGGTTCAGGATGGACGTCCTCCCTCCCTCCCTCCCTCCGGAAACTGGGTTTAAATTATGGGGAAGAGGCGAGACAGCCGCGGGGCCTCCCGTGAAGGCCGCCCTTCCTTCCCTCTTTACGGGGTCCGAAGATTCCCCCACCCCCACCCCTCAGGGAAACCTGAAGTATCGGCCTCGAAAAGCCGCATTTACCCAACATCCCGTGCGAAAATTTCCCAGCAAGCTTTGCGAAAGGCGCTTCTTGAAAAAAAAAAAAGAGCTTTTACTGTTTAACCGCCCGCCGTCGGGGAATATCGGGTAGGCCGCAGGCTCCGTTTACCTCAGAGGCGCGCGCGCGCCTCCCCCGCGTCTCCTGAGGACAGCGCTTTCCCACCGGCGTTCCCAATCCGGGCCCGATTTCCCTCCCGGGGGACCCCTCCCGCCTTTCCTTTCACCCCCAAATCCGCGCTACGCGGCCTTCTTTCCCCTCCCTCCGCATCCACCTCCCTCCTACCTGCGTCATCGCGCAGCATCCGCCCCTCCCCTTCTCGCGCGGGGAAGGGGCGGAGCCGCCCTCTCGCTCTCCTCCCATTGGGCACGTCCCGCTTCCTTTGAGGGGGTGAGTGAGGTGGGGGGGGGGCGGCGTTCGTTGCTTTCAGTGTCGCTCCTCCCCTCCTAACCCGGCCGCGAGAGGAAGGCGCGCGCGAGACGCCCCGCACCTCGGGCTCTTATTGGCTTTCCCAAGCGGCGCGTGGGCGACGGTTTCAGTGACGTCACAACCCCACTACACACACCCCCACCCTCCCTCCCTCTCTCGGCTTGCCGGAGTTGCCTTGTCAAAAAGAAGAGGAGGAAAGCGGCTTCTTCGGGGGAATAAAAGCTGACTGGCTGAGAAAGGGAGACTCGGTCCCGCCCCTAGCGTCGCCTTTCCTCCAATCGCCTTTTGAGGCAGGCACTCGTCCGCGAATGGAATCAGAAGGCGGGCGAAGCCGTTCGCGCTTGCCTTCCTATTGGTGTAAAAAAAAGGAGGCGGTCATTCAGGAGAGAGACCTGATTGGACAATGGTGGTGTCACTCCATCCCCGAGGGCAGCGTGAGGGAAGGCGAAGGAAAGCAACATGGAGGAGGAGGAGGGTGAGTGCGTGAGGGAAGGCGCCAAGTTGGGGGAAGTTCAACAGGTGAAGTTCTGCCTCATCGGAGAGAAACATTTGCCCCGATGAATGCCGGCCTAACCCTCAGACTAGGCCCGGCCCCATGGATCCGGGCGGTGGGTGGAACAGGGGTCTCCCCTCAGTCGGGAAGGGCGGTTTACCCCTATTCACACGACAAGCTGCGTGACTCGGCCTCACGTGAAGGCAAACACGCGGGTCAGGCCTCAGTTGGGGGCGGTTGGGTTCAGCGTGGGCTGAGAACCCGGACTGTGGTCGGCAGGGGTTGGTGAACCAGGCGGGGGCGCGTCCTTTTCTCCATTTTTTATAGATGTGTCACCTTTGCTTTATTTGTTTTTTCTCTCATAATGGTTATGGCGTTTAATGTGGTTTATGATTATTTGGAGTTTAATGATTTTTTAAAATGTTGTGTTAAAGGTTTTAGACAGTGTTGAAATCCAATTTTTTTTATTACCGGTTCTGTGGGCGTGGTGTGGCTTAGTGGGCGTGGCAGGGGAAGGATACTGCAAAATTTTAAATTTTAAATTGATTTTAAATTGGGTTGTTTTAATTTACGGCCAAAATATTTAATTATTTTAAACTGTTTTTAAATTTTGTATGTCCTGTTTTTTACTTTGGCTGTTCACTGCCCTGAGTCCTATTTGGAGAAGGGCGGTATAGAAATTGAAACAAACAAACAAACAAACAAATAAATAAATAAAATCCCCATTCCCTCCTTACTCCTGGGGGAAGGATACTGCAAAATCTCCATTCCCTCCCTCACTCCTGGGGCAAGGATACTGCAAAATCCCCATTCCCTCCCTACTCCTGGGGGAAGGATACTGCAGAATCTCCATTCCCTCCCTCACTCCTGGGGCAAGGATACTGCAAAATCCCCATTCCCTCCCTACTCCTGGGGGAAGGATACTGCAGAATCTCCATTCCCTCCCTCACTCCTGGGGCAAGGATACTGCAAAATCCCCATTCCCTCCCTACTCCTGGGGGAAGGATACTGCAGAATCTCCATTCCCTCCCTCACTCCTGGGGCAAGGATACTGCAAAATCCCCATTCCCTCCCTACTCCTGGGGGAAGGATACTGCAGAATCTCCATTCCCTCCCTCACTCCTGGGGCAAGGATACTGCAAAATCCCCATTCCCTCCCTACTCCTGGGGGAAGGATACTGCAGAATCTCCATTCCCTCCCTCACTCCTGGGGCAAGGATACTGCAAAATCCCCATTCCCTCCCTACTCCTGGGGGAAGGATACTGCAGAATCTCCATTCCCTCCCTCACTCCTGGGGCAAGGATACTGCAAAATCCCCATTCCCTCCCTACTCCTGGGGGAAGGATACTGCAAAATCTCCATTCCCACCCCACTCCAGGGGAAGGATATTGCAAAATCCCCATTCCCTCCCTCACTCCTGGGGGAAGGATACTGCAAAATCCCCATTCCCTCCCTCACTCCTGGGGCAAGGATACTGCAAAATCCCCATTCCCTCCCTACTCCTGGGGGAAGGATATTGCAAAATCCCCATTCCCTCCCTCACTCCTGGGGGAAGGATATTGCAAAATCCCCATTCCCTCCCCACTCCTGGGGGAAGGATACTGCAAAATCTCCATTCCCACCCCACTCGAGCCAGCCAGAGGTGGTATTTGCTGGTTCTCCTAACTACTCAAAATTCCCACTACCGGTTCTCCAGAACCTGTCAGAACCTGCTGGATTTCACCCCTGGCTTTAGAGCAGAGATTGCAAGAGAAGTAGATGAATGCCGGTGGTCCTTGACTTACGACCACAATTGAGCCCCCAAATGTCTTGTTAAGTGAGCTTTCCCTGCCGCCGTTGTTAAGTGGATCACTGCTGTTAAGTTAGTAACACCGTTGTTAAGTGAATCTGTCTTTCCCATTGACTTTTGCTTGCCAGACGGTCGCAAAAGGGGATCACGTGACCCCTGGGGACATTGCAACTCATAAATACACGCCAGTTGCTGAGCGTCTGAATTTTGATCATATGACCATGGGGACACTGCATCGGTCGTGTGAAAAACGGTCATAAGTCACTTTTTTCAGTGCTGTGGTAACTGAACGGTCACTAAATGTACTGTTGTAAGTCAAGGACTACCTGTACTGAATAGTGCAGTGTTTTTCAATCTTGGCAACTCTTTAAGATGTGAAGGTGTTAAAGCCCATATATTTTAAAGTTGCCAAAGTCAAAAACATTTAAAAGAAGAGTTTTAAAAAACTTGAAAGTTTAAAAACACAAAGTTGCCAAGGTTAATATTAGTACAATAAAAAAAATATTGGTACCTAGTTATCATCTGCTGAAAGTTCCCTAGTCTCTCATCCATATTGTGGATCTGTTCATTTCTCCCAAAATGGTTTTCATCTCGTTATGATTCTTTACCATGGCTTCCTGGATGGACTGGAGCACTATTTGCATGTCTTTTGGAAATGTATTCATTTTTTATTGTTGCAACATAGCGTCTATTGGTCTTTGCCTTGATGGGCTTGAAGCAGCCAATATTGGTGGTGTGGAAGATGCTTTCTTGCCAGTTCTAGTTAAGCTCTCTTCTCTCTCTATTCTTATCGTATAAATGTACTCATTCACCTTAACCTCTAATATCAAATCTCTTAGATATAAAAAAGACAATAATCCCAAATAGCCAACCCAAACCCACCCTAACCACGATGCCCCAGTAATCCAGGGAGCCTAGGCACCAAAGAAAAAGCACAAAAGTCTAGTTCACTCAGTCACAACATGTTTCTTCAAGGCCGATAATGTTTTATAATCCTTAAAATCAATCGGGAGGGTAGAAGGAAAAAGTTTGAGATCAGCAATTATATCCTTATCATCTGTCAATATTTATAATCCAAAAAAGTATTTGTAATCCAAAAGGCCCATCATATTCCCCAATGCCTCAATATCAAGATCTGCAAATGTTGTTTCACTCTTCTTTCACCTTTTACAGTATTCAGGATCCAGAAAATAGAGGAGAAATCAGAAGAAGTTGAGAAAAAAGTAGATTAGATAAATGAAAAATTAACACAAGCAAATAAAGACCTGGAAGACAGAGTCATGATATTGGAGATGGAAAAGACAGCCTACTTTCTAAGATTCCAGAACATAGAAGAGGACAAAGAGGAAAAGCTGCCAGAAGTGATAATAGAGTTGTTGGCAAGCACTTTAAAAATTGGAAAATAAGAAATGGATGCTGAGACAGATGAAATATTTAGATTAAATATGAGCAACGCAAGGAGATATAAACTATCAAGAAAGATACAAGTGAGATTTCTTAAAAAAACAACAAGAGATGAAATACTTAAAAAGACAAGAGATGAACCATTGCAATATAGAGGGAAAGAAGTTGTGGTCCTGAAACAGATCCCTAGAAGGATAAGAGAAGCAATACCAATTTTTGACAGCGAAACTGATCAAAAGAGATGTAAACTTTAGATGGTTGGTACCAGAGAGACCAACCAGAGGAAATAGTTAATTGGGATGGAAAAAGATACAGATTATGACAACTACTTTAGTACAATTGATGGACAAAGAGCACAAGGAGGAATGGAATGCGAGAGGCAAGAGGAACCAATAAGAGAGGAGAGGAGTATACAGCAAGAAGAAAGTGAAACGGAGAAGGCAGAAGAGAAGGAGCAAGAGTGAAAGATCAGAGACAAATAAGGACAACTAGGAGAATAAGATGAAAGAGGAGATATTCTCAATCAACATAAATGGATTGAACTCGCCCAAGAAAAGGAAAAAAATCTATACATGACTATAAAAGTTAAAATTAGATATAATTTGCTTACAAGAAACCCATATTAAAAAACAGCACAGTAAATTATTGGAATGTCCAAAAATTGTAAATTCAAAACTGGACTATAGAAGTAGAAAATCGGGAAAAGTAAGGAAGACTCTTCCAAGGGCTTTCTTTAAAATGGCTGAGGAAACCTGTATACAGGATATATGGAGAGAAACAAATCCAGGAAAAAAACAGTATACATTCTACTCAAATAGTCACAAATCATGGTCTAGAATTGATATGATATGGATGTCGCCAGAATTGAGAACAAATGAGCAGGAGATAGAGATTGAAACTAATATATGGGCCGACCACAACCCAATAAAAGTCCATTGGAAGGGGCAAAAAATCTATGGGACACTGTCAAAGCATATATCTGGTTTAGCTATAACAAGAACCGCAAAAGGGAAAATTAAAAAACCAAATGGAAATAATAAACCACCAGGACCAGATGGACTACCTGCCGAGGTTTATAAATATCTACAGGACTCACTAAATTTGTGAATGTTACACGGTTATAATGATGTGCAACAATCAAGATAACTCTACAAGGTTAATACAAAAAATAAAAGTAGACTTGAAGAACTGGAAAAATCTGCAGTTGTCAATGGTAGGAAGAATAGGAACTATAATAATGAATGTACTGCCGAAGCTATTGTTCTTGTTTCAAACGATTCCTATAAAGCTAGAGAAAAAATACTTTTATGAACTAAATGCAATAATTCTGAAATATGTTTGACAAGGAAAAAGAGCGAGAATAAGACTGGAAATGTTGCAAGAATCTAAAAACAATGGGGGTTTCGGTCTGCTGGATTGGGAGCTCTATTATCAGGCCTTGGCACTAGCTTGGGTGAAAGCATGGATGAATCTTAGAAATAGAAGACTGTTACTATTGGAGGGACATGACCTTCAATTGGGATAGCATGCCTTTTTGTGGTATAAAAATAAAATATATAGATACTTGCAAAGACATTATGTAAAGAATGCTCTACTTCTAATATAATAAATAAAATAAATAAATAATATGGGAAAAAGTTAAAGCAAAAAATTACATGAAAATACTAGTCTGGCTTTCAACAATTAAAGCACTGATACATCCAAATGTTGTAAATTTGGGAAAAAATGTAATGTATAATGATATTTTAAATGAGAAAGGGAAACTTAAAACTAAACACTTGCAAATAC